AAGCCGAGGCTCTAGTAAAAGAATTGTAAGCCGTGGCTCTAGTACGAGGCTCTAGTTAAAGAATTGTAAGCCGCGTCTCTATTAAAATTATTGTAAGACGTGGCTTAAAATATTGAAAGAGGCGCATCTAGTAAAAGTATTGAAAGCCGAGTCTCTAGTAAAAATATTGTGAGCCGTTGCTCTAGTAAAGGTATTGGAAAAGAAGCTCTGGTAGAATATTGGTGAGGTAATAAGCTATTGTTTGTTTGTCGACAGTTCGGGACTGAGGGGGCGGGGTGCATTTAGATAAAGAATAATGAATTGCACTTCGAGATTTGCACAACACAAAATTTGAAAAATGTCAGGTTGATAAGTTTCGCCAAATTTTCATGTGCATATTCAATTTCTGAATGACTAAAAGTAGCTTTATACAGACGTGGACATTCTGATGTCTGACATTAAAATTGACAGAAAATTTCTGCCCATTTTTTAAGTGTTTTGATTTAAAGAATGTCAAAATCGAGCTGTTTACTGTATATAAATTTGATAAGGTAGTCAAATAGGTTCTATCTAATGTCAATAACAAAATTCGGTGACACCATCCCTCTGGTAATCAAGGTTTGAATATGTATTTAGTTGTACATTTAATAATTGCATATTTTCCCCAGTCAAGTCATTTTCCAGTACAAAATTCGTAAACTTGATCAAGTACTTTTCCTCAAAATGGCCAGAAAAAGACCTGATGTCGCATCATTTTGTCAATTATGAATGAACTTATTTTCCAACAATTAAACTTATCTAAGGAAGACATAGTGATTATTGCTACATCAGTTTAGAATTATAAAACATATTTGGTGATAAAACCACATTTCAAACTTGTTTTTATCACACACCCGTGCCGATGTTGCGACTCCGTAAATATGGTATTGCACGACCGTGCATATATTTTGACGTGACGTCATTACCGTTATACAAACATAGTGTAAAGACGCGCTAAATGTTAGCGTAATACTACAAGCGCGTCAATGAAAAATGACTCTTATCTCACTTTAAACGGTCTTTATTTTGGGTATGTGATAAATAGAATATTAAATTCGTGTAAGTTCATTACTGAATTTATTGCACTCGTTGAATAAAATAATATTATGCTCGCCAGAGGCTCGCATAATATTATTTTATTCAACTCGTGCAATAAATTCAGTATTAAACTTACACTCATTCAGTATCCTCTATATAATAAATGTTCATGATGTTGTTGTTTTTATTGTTTTTGTTATTATTATTATTATTATTATTATCATTATTATTATTATTATTATCATCATTATTGTTATAATTATTTTTATTATTATTATTATTATTATTATTATTATTATTATTATTATTATTATTATTATTATCATCATCATCATTATTGTTATAATTGTTTTTATTATTATTATTATTATTTAATAATTATTATTTTTTTTATTCTTATTATCATTAATGTTATTGTTGTTGTGTTCTTCTTCTTCTTCTTCCTCTTCGTCTTCTTTTTCTTAATTGTTATTGTTATCATTATTATTATTATTATTATTATTATTATTATTATTAAATCAATAAATATTTACCCCTATTAACGATATTTGTTTACCCATATTAACGATATTTTTTAAAGAACATGTAAATATTCCTCTGAAATAGTTATAATTTTGGAAAACGTGTGTGTCATATATTTTAAGGAACATGTACATATGATCTATTTATCCTAACTACTTATATACATGTATAACATTGTAACTTAAATTAAAACTTTTATATGACACACAAAATTATGAGTCATTTATAAGCAACTATCTTAAATCCAAATATACTGAGGCTATTTCCTTAACATTGTTGTTAATTCATAGTCATAAATCATAACTTTGTGTAACATTATTCATATGCAAAGCAACAGACCCCTTCTTCGCGTATTTAACCGCCAAACCTACCATAAACAATGACAGATGTAACTGATAATTTTCAGGTAAGGCACCTTTGCGCTGTATTCTCCATCGTAAGAATTATATATATAAATGACTAGACATACGGAATGTCTACACAATATGACCACTCGTTGGAACAGTTTTTCTCCATAGAAAACGATCAGTTGTAATATTTTTGTCAATAAAAATTTGCGTGTTGAGTTCAAATGTAAACGAACAGTTGTTAAAATGGCTATGTTTGATTCTCGCATTTTCAATAAACTTTGAATAAAGATACAATTCAACCTTCGTATGGTACATCCAAACTGTGGTTGGCAATCTATTGTTTTTAGCCGGTTGTTTCTTTTATAAATTGCAACGTTAGGTGGGACCGATCGCTTGCACCGGAGAACATCTACAATTTATTCTAATAAAGAACAGGTGATATGACAAGACACTAGTATGAATTCATTGGAAATGAATTTTTCCCAATTGAAATTTGAATTGTTTGTAATGAATTCTTCACCATGATACGTTTTATTTAGTTAAAGATCTGCTGAAATTTGGATTTTAATGATTTCGTGCTGCCTGTAGTACATTTTCAATCCCCTTGATTGCTAAACTTTAGCCAGGAATATCTTCCATGTATCACTTACTTCGGCAGTCGACAACATTCAATTAAACTTCATTCATAAACTGCATATATTGTGATGGGCAAATTTGGTCAAACTCGACAACTCCAAGTCACTCATGGTAAATAAAGATTTTTTACATACACGTGCCGATTTTGCGACTCCGTGCATATATTTCGATGTAAAATAATCGAATGAAGAATTTAAATTACAGAATTATCACCGTGTATTTATAATTAACATAAAAAGTAAAAGTAAAATAAATTATGAATTAATACATGTTATTGTATATACATGTAACATAAATGGGCATTTGACCCAAGAATAGCTTTATTGTTCTCGTGAATAGAGTATGTGGGAGTCGACTGTGTCCTCCTCTACTCCGTAAAATGTTGTAATAAGTATGTATATCATGATATGGTTTATGCAATAAGGTACAAACATTTTTATTCACTTTCATATCTTCCAAAACAACATGCTTCCAGAGTTGCTTCAATTTTTCAATTCTACCACTAAAACTAAAACTGTGCTCATTATACAAATTGGGCAATTTAACAATGCATATTTTCCATATTTCCTTAACCCTAAATATATGGTTTCTTATGTTTTGAATTTTTGATAATTTATTTTATTCATCCGATGATATGTCACTTTAAATTAAAAAATATTCAAAACATTATATTGAATATGGATATAAAAATACAACAGTTACATAACAGACATAGGCATTTACATCAAAATCTACTAAATCTTCAGTGTTTCCCAAAACTATCCTATTTGTGGCCTGTGATGGGAATTTAATTATAACGATATGATTATTGTTACGCCAGAGTACAGATCAGATATTTCTCAATGTGTGACACTGTCAAAAGAACCATATAATTGTTAAGTATCATCTATACTTAGTTAAAAATTTTGTGGACAGGGACGTGCCGCAGAAAATAATTGTCATTTTAATGAGCTTATAAATACATTTGCGTGACGTAGTTTTGATTCTCGTAACTGTTATATGTATTTGTAAAAAAGTACATGAAGTATATCATTACAAATAACTTTGTTGCATTTTCAGAAATTAGAATTATAAGTTCAACCAGACTTTCTGCTGGCATATGCATTATTGTTCGTAAATCGTATGGTTCCCGATCTTGTGGAAGCGATGTCATATTCATCACAAATGTTGGCTTATAATGTAGTTACATCCATAGAGACAATAATGTTATGTATAGTACGGTGTCTTGTGACTCCGAGCTTATGTTTGAAGTAAGTGGTTTCCCAAAGCACCTTCGAGTAATACAAAATGGTGGCCTATATTCAGTTTTACGTTTTTAAGATTATTTGCTGAGACGATAGAACGACCTGAGTTTCCTTTATGAGTATTTTATAAGTAGGTTATTGAGTTAAGGATTATAAAGTAGTTTGAAGTATTTAGTCTTTAGCACGCACTTGCAAGTGTTGATAATTGAGTACCACTCCAATCGGTGCTAGGGGGCGTATAGAATATTGCATAATTTTATTATCCCTCATGTGCAAAACAAAATCAAACCAAGTTTGCAATTTTTATGCAATTTTGTTGCGATTAATGCTTCCGAGGGATCACCCTTTTTCCAGACTTTTATTGTTGTTGTGAAGAGGTAAGTGCTGTGCAGGGGTCAAACTACATCATATGTTACATCTGTTGATACCTTAACTTTTAAAGTTGTAAAAATGTTGTGAACACAATTTCTGAATGAAGTTTTTATGTTATATCTTCTCATTTTAAGAGATATATATTAACCGTAAAATACAGTTTCAGACAAATTACAAAATACAATTTCAGGAAAGTATCTGATTTTATCATATTTGTGAAGTTAGCGACCTAGAGGCCTAAATTTTTAAAGTTATAGAAATTTTATGAAATTAATTGAAGTAGCAATAAATGAAATTTTAGTATAGTATTTGACAAATTTGTAATAGAAATAAAAGTTATAGAAATTTTGTAAACACAATTTGTACGACTCTTCATGAAGATTTTCCTTACATTTCAAATATCTATAAACAGAAAAATCACTTTCAAAAAGTTTTTTAATGCTTTCAATATTTTTGTGATGTTGGTGGCCCAAATTGAAAGGAGGGGGTACCTTTGTCTGTCCTGTTCTATTAGAATTGAAGTTGTATTTTGGGAGAATTTTGAAAGTCTTTCATCTTACTAACGGAGATTTTACGTCACGTTCATTATATTGTCGAGGATTTTGTTCATTGTATGTTTCGCTAATTTGTTTATCCTTTTCAATTTCATTCGTTTCTAATACAACAGTGTGCATTTTATCTCATCTCATCATTTGCTTGCGATAGAGCAATTAAATTAAACTAAAACTCGAACATAAACTAGAGCATGGAAAGCATATTTCATCATCGGTAACTCTGTACACACTCAGTTATATGGTAAATAAAGGACAAACAACAAGTATATGCTTGATTAATATAATTAAAACTTTACAATGTTGACATATCTATCGTAAATCATGTTTATTCCGGCGTTGATAGTGTGTATCACTGTCCTTTTTCTCATCCATATGATCTCATTAGGGCGCAACTAAAAATAACATACGACAATGTTTAAAGGTCATACAAAAGTTGTGTTATTCATTAGCATAGTTAATATGATTTTAGGGCAGACGCATTCTTTTACTTGAGGAACATACGCCTCTTTTCATGGAATACTAGTAGTACTGACGTGTCACATTGAAGGTTCTATGATAACTGTCATATGAACACATATGCAGATATTTAATTTATCTATTTATCAAATTTACCATATGCAGGGGGCGTGGACGGAAACTTGCAATTGTCATTACTGTCCACGAACAAGCATAATCGAAATGAGCCTGCAACATTTTCAATTTTCTTGTTTTGTGCGTTCTACATGGATTCTAAATTTCTCTCTAATTAACATCGGTAGAGCGTGTTTGTGCGAATTAATGCAACATTAAACGTACAACCGCTTCACAACTTGATCTTACCTTAGCATTTGAGATTTATTCAAATTACACCAGCTATACCCATTATGATTTCTTTGTAAATATATTCAAAAGGTTTCTTACTTGTAGGAGAACGTTGACAGAAATAGAATTTTAGACTAGCACAGTAGTAGTCATTCCATTTCTTAGTGGCTGACATTTCAACACAATCTTCCTCTCCAGTTCCTGCGCCATTATTTGGTTCATTTGTGTTCCAATTTGTATAACTGACAGGTTGTTGCGATCCGTCCCATTTGAATGTATTTTCAGTTTCAAGATCATTCAATCCGATCCAAGCTGTGTCACCATTTCCTTAAAAATGTTTTTATGTATTTATTTAGAAACTCTTATTAACTTACAGCTAGAAGTCCTTTGTCAACAACTTTTAAAATAAAATCGTTCGTACTTGAGCTTTGCAGATTTATAGTCATCATTCAAAAAAAAAATCTGAGTTATTGCCTCACCTTTCAATGTGTCAAGATAGTTGTTAACAGCTTCGCTGTCGGCTTGCGCAAGAGTACCACCGTCTTGAGCGCATTTGGTCTAGAAAATAAATACTTAAATGAATTATCGTCAACAAATTTTAAGGTTAGTAGTATCATGTTATTTAAAGAAATATTGTTTCCAGAGTGTTACAATATATAATCGTATAAAATGTAACATAACAGGGACTTCACACGTAAACTTTTATTGTTGACGTCATTACAGTCATTATATTCATGTCAACATACTCTTAACTGTCAACGATTTTGTAAAGTGTTCCTGTCATATGTAAACTTTGGCTACTTACCTTTAGTATTTGAAGCATAATATATATAACATTAAATTTGGAAGGATAATTTGAAATACTGATCAAACAAAAGATGAACAAGATGTAATATTTTCATCAAACATAAATACATATTAATATTGTCGTAAGCACAATAAATTATGAATTAGAAACGTCCATGTTTAAATATCTGGGGTGGGGGTTATCAATGACATAAATCAATGGGAAAACATTGTAATAACTAGTTAGTGGCTTCTTTATTGTGCCACCAATACAAAAATATTATTTGATTTCCATACAAAATACTAAATCACTATAAATGTTCGTATTCTTAAAACATCAAAAGCAAAAGTAATCGTACAGGCAAGTTGCCAATGAGTTATGTTTTGGAAAAAATAACTTAACATCAAACATAGAATGCTTTCGGGTAATATCAGCTTTTCAGAGGCATATGCGGCATTAAGAATTTATGCAGAAAAAAGATAATGGTATTGACAATGTAGCATTTATTTTAAATGTAAGTATAAACATAATTGTAACGTACTGAAGTGATATAAAATTAAGATGCAATTCATTAAATAACGATAATAACCTATTTAATTATACCAGCCTGTCCGGGTATTACTTCAATGCACACAAACATATATTAGCCGTGTCACGACAAAACCAACATAGTGCGTTTGCGACCAGCATAGATCCAGACCAGCCCGCGCATCCGCGCAGTCTGATCAGGATCCATGCTGTTCGCTATCAGTTTCTCTACTTGTAATAGGGTTTGTAAGCGAACAGCATGGATCCATATCTGACTGCAGGTGCGCAGGCTGGTCTGGAGCCATGCTGGTCGCAAACGCACTATGTGGTTTTGTCGTGACACGGCTCATATTATTATAAACGAGAATCTAGACAGTAGCTAATACATCTGTGTGATATCGTAGATCAGAAGAATTAAAATTTGCCATATACGAGTAAATGATTTATGTGTTACTTTTGCGGTCGACCAGTTCACTGTCTCCCCATTTTTGAATATATAACAACGACCATTTGACAAGCTCCAACCACTAGGACATGATTCTACAATGAGGAGGGAAACAAATCATAAGATTGGTGTTTAATAAATTTATGCCCTCTTTGTATCACCTTTTTTTTATAAATGTATCAGAAATTTGTACATGATTATTAAAAACTAGCATTGTAAAATGTTTGCAATTTTTGAAGATAATTACACGATTCAAAATCACTAACTGACGGTCCGTCGCTATTTTCCCCGCATCATGAAATCCTTGAAAATATCATTTCATATTAAATGTATCTAACATTTGTGACGTTTTTCGTTAAAGACAGTGGAAGATCATTTTTAGCAACAACAAAGTATAAAAACATGTCAATACAAAGCAAACTAAAATATAAAAAAGATTATCAATAACACGAGAACACACATGTATACATATATATGTAAAATAAAAGACAGCCATTGATCAAAGAAGTCACTCAAAGGTGCACCGCATCCTTTCTGTCTTCTTCTCCCTGTCTGACTCTTTGTCTTGTGAAGCAAATCAATTTTCGAAATTGATTAATAATTTACATACAAGGACCATTCGGAACATGGTGCATATTTTGTGATCGAACATTTCCTTATTGTCCTTATTGTCCAGCAATAAATTGCTATATTCCTTATAATACTTACGCTCACAATTACTGCCTGCAAATTGGCTAGTACAGGTACATGTATAACTGCCAGATTGACTTGTGCACGTGCCTCCATTCTTACAAGGGCTTTCTGTGCAGGGATCATCCGTGACGGCTTATAAAAGAAAGAAAAAATACGACTTTATTATGTTTTACAGAAAAAGAATAAAGAATATCTGGCACGTTTCTTTTTTTGATCATTTCGTGATTGAAAACATTTGACAAGATACAGTGGCAGTTGTGTAATTACGTGATACAACCACACTCATTCATACTTTCCGTTTTCATTCATTTCCAACATTAGTGTCGTCTGAATTTTCATCGCAGTCTATGATCTATTTTGTTATATTTGCAACATGAAAAAGATCATCTTACATTCTTACATCAATTCAAATGAATGCTTGAGATGGTCATAGTTCGGTATCGATCAAAAATCATGTCATTGTAACAAGTATATGATGAATTATATGTATAACAGTTGTAGCTAAGGTTTACATTGTCATTGGCTGATAACTTTTATGTGATTACCTCGAAAAGGACTTGTGACCAGTCACTGTTAACATTAGTTCAATCTTGATTTTTTTGTATTTTTAAGTCTCTTTTCCATTCATCAGTTCCCATGATAATTAATATATTTATCTGCAATTACAAAATGTATATTGTTTGTACAGACCTTTCTCACAAATGTAGTTAGAACTCGTAGTGCAGTCAAGTTGACTCCATAACCCGTTACTTTGGTCAAACTTGTAGCAGTAAACATTTGAAAATCCGGTACCCGAACCCCCTACCCAATTTCTGTAGTTGTATAGAGTGCCGGATGTTACCCAATAGAAAGTGTCCTCGTCATTGTGCCACTTAAGTCCAAACCAAACACCCGTCGTTAATGTTGTAACTTAAAGGAATTGAACATACTACTGTTAAATGATATATAATGAAAGTTTGTTAATGATATATGTTAGGATGTTTCTCATATAAATGTGCTATTAGATGATACATAATGTTAGTTTGTAAATGATATATGTTAGGATGTTCCTCATACAAATGTGCTGTTAAATGCTGTATAATGTAAGTTTGTAAACTATATATGTTAGGATGTTTCTCATACAAATGTTCATTTAAACTATTACCAACAATCAACTTACGTTTCCATCTTTATTTATGTTTTCTAACATGTTTAAAAGTTCTATAATTCTTCTTGATAAGTTTAATCGTGGTAATTTCTGCATTTATCACTTACGTGTATTTATGCTATAGAGCTATAGGGTTTTCCTTCACATTTTTATGTGTATATTTTATAATTAAGGTCGTTTCGATTGTGCAAATTGCTAACTTTCTTGTAGATGTAAAGAAGCAAATCTATAGTGAAAATGTTATGTATATTTAACACAAAAATGCATATAATTGTTACCATTTTACATACTCTTTGTCAATTATCATGTAAATGTAATGCTTATAAATATTATATATATATTATCGCTGAATGTAGTCATAAACCACCTCCTGTATCTATTTTATAGGGTGCAATTCTCGACATTTTTTTTGTGACTGAGCTTTGTGAATTCCAATGTTCAGATGTACGATGGAACATTTTTAATTACCGTTGAGATAATATGTTTAAAGCTTTTCGTTATCCATCAAGGTTATTCAAATAAAAAATATTACAAATTCTTTCAAAATAAGAATCAGGATTATATATACAGTAGATTGATATTCACTTGAAACCAATGAAAAAGAAATACCGTTACAAACGGTATAAAATATTTTACGTTTAGATAAATTTTAGACGGACACATACTTGCGCTACCGGTCGTCTGCAGAAATGAATTCTCCTCGGCATTGATTATTTCTGCTAGATAAGCACTCTCGTCTGCTACACATGCAAGCTGCAAACCATCAATAAATAGGTGGATATGCATGGAATGTGGTCAAATGTGTGATAAAATTATATGTTATGTGATTATGTTAAAATATTTTCAATAGGACACCGAGATAAAGCTATTAATCATGCTTAAAACTGTGAATGGTAATAACATAAGGCAAATGATTATATAGAATCCTGAAATGTGATAAGAAGTCTGTAAATTACATATAGATAACCAAATATTAAGATAACAGAAAATAACAAGTAAAGTCATACCTTAGCTGCGTCCCAAGTTTTAGTATTTGAACTGAATTTGTAGCATTTTCTTCCATAGTGAGACCAACCTGGCTGACAATAGCCTGATGCTAAAGTAAAAAAAGAACGAAAAATAATTCGTTACTGCAAATAATAAATAGTGTTTAGTAAACTGTGGTACCTCCAAAATGAAATCTTATTATGAGAGATGAGCAACTTGTAGAAAGTTCGATCATATTAGGGGTATACATTGGAACTTTTCGGCAAATTAACTTAAAAGTATCTCGTCCGGCTACAAGACAATCAATGCTATAAACATTAGCATAAACGTGATACACACGCGATTTATATGTACATTTGCATTTTTGAATAAGTTTTCTTTCTTATTGATGAATTGTAATAATAGTAATATAAAAGCAATTTTTAAAAATATAATAAAAGTGTTGTTTGATTATACACAACCTGTTATGTTGATTAAATATACTGCAAAAATAAAGAAAGTAAAACCAACAACAACAGTAAGACTTGAACCTCAGACCTCTCCCATTTAAGGCAATCACTGAACCAACTATGTTAATGCGGATGTGATGATTACACTTAGAGCAAGTCATGAATTATTAATATTTGATATTAATTCTCCAGTGGAATCGGATATTTAAATGAGTGCTATAATGTTTTCATATTTGGCAGATCAATTTAATCACACTATACCTGAAACAAGATTATTACATGCATGTTATAATATATTCAACAGATTATAACTTACTCTCACAACTTTTTCCTTCGAAACCAGATTGGCAATTACACGTATAATCAGCTCCATTAACAATGCATGTACCTTCATTTTGGCAAGGATTGGGGAAACATGGGTCGTCTGCCGCTTCTAAAATATGAAAAAAAAAATAGTTAATTCCTTTCTTTTATTTTCAAAACTTTGTTTAAGTTTTTTGTACCATTTGATGTGGGTCTATATCATTAAGTAATGTGCCAATTTTCAGATCATTCGCTCACTTCATCTTTTCAAGTATAAACATTTTTATCCTGCAAAGCGGCATAAATTTAGAAGCATTTAAACCGATTTAAACTAAAATCGGGATGAGAATCGCACATAGTATCAAATTTCATTTTTAATTCTGCTCTGTGTTTATTTATATATTATCTTTTCATATTTTCCGTTTAAAGTACCCCAGTTATGTAACATTTTAATTGTAAGTCTTTTTTGCCTTTTTTGCCTTTTTGTGATGTTACAATTCATTCATTTTGTCTTGAACAATTTTACAAGAAATTGATTCAATTAATCGGCTTCATGACAGAAATGAAAACACGGGAAAGGTGTGTGCTTGTGCGTGCGAGCGTGTGCGCGCATGTGTGTGTATGTGTGGAATACTTATGTAAAATACACTTGGAGTATTTATTGAAATGCAAAACAAGTAACGGGTTGTAAACATACCTTTTTCACAAATGTAGTTAGAACTCGTAGAGCAGTCAAGTTGACTCCATAACCCGTTACTTTGGTCAAACTTGTAGCAGTAAACATTTGAAAATCCGGTACCCCAACCCCCTAACCAATTTCGGTAGGAATATAGAGTGCCGGATGTTACCCAGTAGAAAGTGTCCTCGTCATTGTGCCACTTAAGTCCAAACCAAACACCCGTTGTTAATGTTGTAACTTAAAGAAAATAAATACAAATATACACTTATGAGATGATATTAATATTCATATGTATATTTTATTCTATCTATCTAAACTTTAATGGTTAAATAACTAATTAATATTATCACCTGAATTCTACGTACGATATACAAAACTTATAAGCTCTACTTTTCAATCGGGATGACCCTTTCCTTGGGTCGACTATGATTGTAGTTCACATTTTCTTTAATAAGATCAATTTTTGAGGAAAATTGAAGTACTATTGCCTTCTTGTTTATTATTAACATATAAAGCCATACCACAAGTGAAGATATTTCAAAAATAACATTATGCTTTGCACTGTTTTGGCTTACTTTTTATGCAGTAGTTAATCAATTTGTTAATGGTGATTTCTTACAAGAATAAAAGGTATTACCTTCAAATTTGTTTCTTGTTTGCTATCAAAATTTAAATTAATTTCAAAAGAGCAGATTACTTCACCTCAGACATAAAATGCTTATCAACTTGGTTTACGTGTCAACTCTGCATTTTTGCAGAAATGTAAAGCAAAATGTCCGAGGTCTTGTGTAACCCAAACAATATACTTACTCTTTTCCCCAGTATATTCAAGAAAGTTATTTTCATTTGCGCTATAGATTTCTGCCAGATATCCACTGTAATCATTCACACATGAAGTCTATAAAAAAGTGTATAAAAAAAGAAGCAAAGAATTGATTGTTGTCGTATCAAAATGTCTAATTGTAACGAATATCTTTGATAGCAACAAAGAAATAAGGGATTTATCAAAATTCATGGATATAATTAAATCAAATATCAAATGCCTTTGAATTCGGAATTCATACCATTTTTATCACATAGCAGTACCATAAAAACGATATTGCACGATGTATGTGTAAGTGTTATACTATTTCATGCATAAGCCTGAGCTCTAAATGAACTTCACTGAGGTGTTTGACATGACGGGCCAAGAAATAACTTTTCAAGATTTGTGTTCCGTTTGCTAGAAAAGATGTGTGTAAAGAATCACTCGGAGGTTCCTAATAACTTCTTTAGTTGCAAAACACGACCTAATATGCAAAAGCTTTGCAACACTTTTCGCTTAAATCGGTCTAAGAACGGCACAAAAAATACGATTTTCAAAGTTTTCTTAGTATATTTCTTAATTATCGTTTGCATACCTGTCAGTTTTAAGTGCTCCAGCTGTGTTATGTAAGAAATCAAATTTTAACCTTCGCAAAGTATCATTGTCAAATCTATTGAAATGATGTTATGTCGCTAGAGATTCGTACTATTTGATTTCAGTCAAGAAAAAATTCGTATAAATAGTTTAATGTCCTCTTTATATTTAAAAACACAAGTATTCATTGATGCCAGTCTTTTGTCGCAATACCCGATTTTATAGTTACATGTATGTTAGACTTACTTTAGCTGCTTCCCAGGTTTTCTTGCTGGAGCTGAATAGGAAGCATTTGTCACCATAAATATGCCATCCTGTACTACATTGTCCTGTACCTGCAAACAAGTTATACAAAATGCATCATTACAACACGTTTCAATATGATTTTAATTAACATGTTTAAACATTATCAAAAAAATATCATTATTATCAGAAATAATCAAGTTGAAATAACATATTGAGAAATGTCATTCATAGTACAATAGACTACCAGTACTCATATTCTTAGTTTACCTGGCATCAAGTTATATATTAAAACTAAATTTGAACACAGCTTTGAAAATAGAGTACCGCTCTAAAAATTGAGTACCATTCAAAAATTGAGTACCGCTCAAGGTGCTGCTAGAGGGCATGAGGGATGTTGCACTTATTCATTATCCCTTAATTACAAACCCAAAACAAATCAGGTCCGTAAATTTATGTTATTTTGCTGTTATTAATGCTTCCGAGTGAGCATCCACTCTTGTTTTTGTTGAATGCTACAGAAGAACCTTGTTTAACTTTGGTCGTATGTTTTAGGATTTTTTTTTTATGTTTTTATTATTTTTGTTGTTGTTGTTGTTTTTTTTATTTCAATTTTGTCATAAATTATCCAAAAATATACAATTTTATGGGATAAAGAATTTCACTTAATGATACAAATTGCTTACTGTCACAATCTCTTCCTCTGAATTGACTTGTACAGCTGCACGTGTAATCTGTACCATCAACCGTGCATGTACCACCATTCTGGCACGGGTTTGGATCGCACGGACCTAACAGAAAATAATCTCACTTATTTTAAAACAAGTAAGGAATGCTTATATACGATTTTTTTCATTCGTTATATACATATATAAACATTATATTTTATTATGTAATTTTTCGCGTCTTCTTCCCCTCATCGTATTAAAGTGCATAAAGCTATATATCTGCTGCAAAAATCATTGTTTGAATTTTGAAAAAAGAATACTTCCAAAATGCTTGTATAAAATACATATGGTAGTTAATTACCTTAAAAAATGGATGGAACATGTACAAATCATTGCTGAACAGAAAAAAAATCTATCAAAATAGCAAAATAATATTTTGTTCCGGAATAGTTTATTCTGTTTATGAACATTATCCATGTGTATGATATTCTATGTTGGGAATCAACCATACAATAATGGAACCAATATAATTTTATTGTTGATACAATTCATAAAAATATTTCATTCTCTATAGATTTATACCCTTTAATGTTTTAAAATTTCACCATTCTGTCCACCGTCGTATGATGAATGTATCTACATAGTTTATTTATTGTTACAAATGATAAAAAAATTCTGTACAGTTTAACAGTCCCCACAGTCTGTTCGTGGTTTTGGTTAAAATTACAGAATTTGACTAGCTAGTTCTTATCGTAAATACTGTCGTATATTAACAGATTCCAGTAAAAAGTTAGATTTTTTTCTCAAAATTGTTATTTTAACAACACAGAAATAAAACAACAATATCAAGTTTGAATAGATAAAAAGTAAACTTACCTGTCTGCCGTTTATGACGACGACCATCTGTGCTCTTTAAACCTACAGTTTAAATAATATAGGTTAAAAGTCTTAAAAAAAGAAAACCACGATGAATAAAGATATCATAACATTTCTTTTAGATGAACAAATCTTAATTTGAATTGAAATATAAACATATAAGCTGTTATTATAACATTTTGAAGCATTCTGTATACCAATTTCTTATTTACGTAAGACCAAGTCTTAAGGACACGCACGGTAACTTGCATGAGCTACTGTTGCACATGAAAAAAAATCAATTCAGTCAAACTGATATTTTAGCATTTCAATACTGCAGTATTTTTGCCGCCTTGAAAATCCTCATTTTTTTCTTTTTTTGTTGTGTCTTAATCTGAGATGTGGTTTATTGTACATGTATTCCTAGTATTACACTCAATAACACACAAATTTGACTTTTTAAAAGAAAACTAGAAATTTAATATAAAATTATATTTTAGAAATATTTAAACATCATTTCTATTGTAATATTATAACATTTTATATCCATAAGTCAAACAGTATGTGTTTTTATGATTCAATTGAATGACGCATACATTTATTTCATAATTCATGCATAGGAACGTTAAATATGACACTGATTAATTGTAGTTTATTTGACAATAATGCGCGTATAAAAATGAAAATACACAATGTGTGTTAGAATTACTATTTTATTTTCAAAGACATAACTTCCTGTATTCTTATTTAGCTTTAATTGATTTATTTTTGTCAGTAAGATATTATTTAATGTGGATTTTTTTCACTAAAAATTACTCACTAAGCCAGATATAAGCTTAAGTCCGGAATTATTTCCGGTTTTCACTGAATTACAATTATATAAGACAATAATATATTTTAAGCACATATCTAGTTTCAAGTTCCACCTTGGGCCGTTGACGAATATTTTAAATGAATAATTTAGATCAGTTGAGGCCCCAAATGCGACACGTCTAAAGACATTTGTGTACAAAATATATTGTACGTATGTGAAAAGAGTTTTGGTTTCGTCGAAAACAGTTCAATAAAATACGTAGGACATACTGAAAATAAAAAGCGTTTTCAAATATCAAGAGATTCGAGTCAATCAGTAATAAGAATGATATTTACATATGTTAACATTACCTATGTCATTGTATATATTGATGATCTATTAATGTATAGGAATGATAGTGTCGATATTAATTAAGACAGGCGTTATGTGTTTACTATGCACGGTGTCATGTGATAAAATAGTTATGATGCAGGCATTAACACATCGCATTACTGTGAAATTTCTTCACGAAGTGAATTAAGATTTCTGAACGAATTGAATCTAAAGTTCTGAAAGAATTTAATTTAAATTTCTTTACGAATTTACTTTGAATTTCTTTACGAATTGAAATTAGATTTATTAACATTTATATTAGAGTTTTTTTCTGACTTAATGATGAAGATTTAATAAAGAACTGAATCTAAATTTATAAACAATTAAGTTTAAACTAATACTTACAAAGGCACACATATATTCCAATGACAACAATATGTCTTAGATTCATTTCGAAGCAAACAATCTGTGTCCTTCCTGTTTATCAGAAAGCAGTGCAGCTTCAGGAAAAGTTCTTTCAATATGATATGATAGACACTCCTCCACAATATACCGGGTAAGCATGATACTGTGACATATATAGCTGTGAAACTGACTGACACGTGTGATTTGCACAAAACATACAGTAATAATTAAGATTGTAGATAAATATAAAGCTTTCAATGTTTTCTTTTGTTTGACACTGTCCCATGCGAAGTTTATTGTAGTGAAAGTTTTAAATGGTAGCTTTCCTCAAGCTGCTTCTATTATATAAATTGTAGTTGTTGCCAATAATGTACGCAATGAAAGATAACATTGAAACATAGTTAAACAAAGGTATAATATATAATTCCCTTGTTCTGGAAACATATCGGTGGGTTATGAAATTTCTCATTGAGCATATTGCGCGTTTGCGATGAATACCTTTATGAATTTGACAGATGTTCAATTAGATTTTAAGTGTACATGCTAAACATTTACAATTTGTCATTGCTTATATATGATCCATAAAACGAATCATTATTAACGCATGTGACTGCTTTAAATACATTTATATTGACTTTAAATGTCATTTAAAGACATCTGTAAATCCATGAAATATACCCAGGAATGTATAATGTGCAACAAGCAAGTTTGCATTTTCGTCATCAACAAAAGTCGACATATGCAGATGTTGTCGTATCCTATAACACGTAAACAGGCGATTATTGCGCAGCGTTATTATAATATCAATGCAAAATAATGATGTACAATATAAGACTGTGTTTTCAAGGTCCTTATATACTATACAATTTAACAACATTGTAGTTTTCCTTTAACTTGTTTGATTTCAAATTAGGATACGAAGACTGTTATTTCCTTTTTACAATGGAATCTAATATAATATTTATTTATAAAAATATACTTTCATAATTTGTAATAGTATTTTGACCCTGAAGAATTTAGGCAGGGGAAATATTCGTACTTTGGCCAAGGTGAAATTTGTTAATAATATAGACATGGTGTTCTGAAGGTGTTGAAAATTGTTACAATTTCTCTTTGTAATTTGTATGTAGAAAATAAGCAAAATATTTGTAAATTTCAGATTGTCACCTGCTACAAAACTAGTAAGAAACTTTGATAAACTTTTGCAAAAAAAAATCTAAACATATGACTAACACTTAGTTAAGCATTTTCAAAGTTTTTTCTGTAAAATAATTCTATCATTAAAGACATAATGCGGATTCTGAAGTGTTCTGTGTCTTCATGAGCCGCGTCACGACAAAACCAACATAGTGCGTTTGCGACCAGCATGGATCCAGACCAGCCTGCGCATCCGCGCAGTCTGATCAGGATCCATGCTGCTCACTGTCATTTTCTCCACTTGTAATAGAGTTGGTAAGCAAACAGCATGGATCCTGGTCAGACTGCGCGGATGCGCAGGCTGGTTTGGATCCATGCTGGTTGCAAATCCATTATGCTGGTTTTGTTGTGACGCGGCTCATTTGTTCTGTAGGGCAATGGACGCAAAGTGTTTTTTTTTTTTTTTTTCAATGTTTGTCATATATCCTTGAATAATGCCAAGCAGCAAGTTCTTACCATGTGCATAAATCAATGAAAACTTTGAACGCCCTCTCGGAAGTGAAAAATGCTATTTTTGGTCCCCTGCCCGTTTTACACATTTTCCAGCTTTGCTATGGTTAGTGATGACTTGATAATAATGACCCAATCACACTGGACCTAGAGTTTTGTTTAAAGCGACATGTCTCCAGATTCATGATTTTATTAATGAAATAACAATAATACAAATTAAAAAGTAAAAATATTGTCAAGTGAGCAAAGAAAGTAATTTACACAGGACAAACAGCACTTACAAATCTACGAAAATTACCAAAAGTAGGTCTGAATAAGCAAATATAGCTTGTACTGCGTTAGTCTCCCAGTAGGAACATAGTGATATATACCTCAAAATCAATCAGTAATTGCACAAAATATGTATAATTACGTTATTTAATTGTGAATATGTTTGCATTTTTACTCTGAGTACATGTTTCTTCAGGTTGATTTTTTGCATATCGGCATGCATCTTTAAGATCTTCAAGTATCAATAGAGAGTTGAATGTATGAAATATTTTCAATCGTCAAGTTTTACCAGCATTTGTGTTCTAAGATTTTCAGAAATGAGGCAGACGTGCGTAAACTCTGTTTAAACGAAATAGTTAATCACCTCTGGATTGTATGAGGAAAGTGCAAATAGGACATCGGCTACCTGATCAGAGAGACATCCACTGCGCACTTGTAATCATATTACTTATTTACGTCTGAATATTGTCCTGATGTGTATATATCCATATACACTACGTGCACGACAATGAAATAGACATAACAATGATATTAATGCTGAAACATGTTCAATCGTTTCCATTGTATCATCGACGACAGCCTCGCAAAAACGGTGGTCAGGGTCGTGAATTTAAACCCACATAAAGTTTATATCAACTGTGTTATAGTCGTGCTAGGGAATTATTGAGATGTTGGCGGCATGAATAAGGAATACCGTTATGGCCATCTTGGTTATACATTAAAATACACAGTGCAACAATGTGATAACTTACGACAGTGCGATGGCGACAAAGCGATAGTGCTTTGACGAAAATGCGATAGTACGATGGCCACAATGCGAGAACGCGATAGTACGATGACGACAGGGCGATAGTGTTATCGCACTGTCGCCATCGCATTGTCGTCACCGCACTATCGTATTGTCGTCATCGCACTGTCGCATTGTCGTAGCGTCGCCATCGCATTATCGCACTGTCGCTATCGCATTGTCGCACTGTTGTCATCGCGTTATCGATTGTCGACTATCGCATTCCGGTAAACGGTTCTTAACAAATGACGAATAAGGTGATGGTACAGAATATTGAAAATAATTTTAATTTTGTCAATAGAACTTTTTCTTTTTGTTTTTTTTCTTTTCTTTTTTTTACTATTTTTTGTTTGTTTCTTTTCTGTTTACTAAAAACGTCTAAATAGAATTATGAATTAATAATCAGTAACATTTTATATCCGAAGATAGGGGAAATACTTAAAGAGTTAAACATACACCGATAATGTAATAAATTGCAAATTGTGTGCAACTTTAATATAGTAGAAATATTTCAGATGAAAATGTTTAACGTTGACATTTAAAAGATGCAAAAAATATTCAAAATAAGTGTTGAACACTTATATAAAAAAGACAAATAAAGTATATTCATAGATCATATTACAAAAATATATACAAAAATAAAAATTGTGTAATGGAAAATGACTTTGATAATAATGTAGCTTTAAACAGTCTGTTTAAATACAAACTAAAAAGATTCCTTATATTTAATTGGTCAGTAATACATGAGTTTTCACGATGAATACGAAAATAGTTCAATGGTCACTATAAAAATACAGCTAAAATCACGTAGGTAATATCTATTAAATTGTAATTGGTTATCAGTGGTTGTGTTGTTTTGTAAGATGTAGAATTTATTACATAATAAGAAATTTACGTCAACACAAATTTTGCTATATATCTAACATAAATGGTCAGCCATTTTCACTATAAGTTGAATTTAACAGCAGATTATACTATAAGTTTAACTGGTCAGCATATTCTTCTATAGTCAACTGATTCCCCTTGTGGACATAGTAATACAAGGTGCTTCAATGTTAAAAACATATCTATCTTGCTTTCGTAAATCCATTTTATTTATTCCGCAAAACACTTACTGTTTTTATTATTACATGTATTTTTATTATTATAATTATTTTAAGGGGAAAACATGCAACGTTCGAATTACCCACTATCTGCTGGAATGTAGTCGGGGATTGCCAGCTAATAGGTAGTTGGTTATTGGAATATCCAACCAAATTGACGCACCTTTAGGTTTTTATCTATATCTAAAATGCGGCTATTTTTGGTGGATGGTGAACATAACGCTTTCATATTTCTTACAGGTGGTAAATAAAAATTAAAAAAAAAAACATTTAAGATATACAAGGTTCTGTGTGATATTTGCTTTATATATAGCCAAAGTGATTTTAAAACTGCCGATGTAAAGAGGATAATGATACTTGCCGTTAAAGTGACTTAATGCTCATACTTTCATAGTCAAGTTGAGCAGAATTGACAAGACATTGCAAAAGATTTACTGTTAAAATGGTGATTCTGCCTAAAATATAAAAGACTGTCCCACTCTTTTTATGGAGTGAACGTTACAGGTAAATTCTAATGGATATTTTTGAAAATTTCGTTTGAATCCATGCATTGTTTATTGTTAATGTGAACTAGGTTTTTTATATTAAAAGGAATAATTGCAATATAAAAACTCATTTTGAAATTCACCTTTTCACTCATTGAAACCATTGGATGACCATAATGTCATTTTAAATACTTATATATTTTGCAATATAAGTAAAAATTGCTTTGTAGTTAATGCCATCTTTTCCTCTTATACTATATGGTCAGCAGATTTAAGGTACTGTGCATTAGGTCAGATGTAAAGAAGAATCTGCTGACCAGTTAACCTATCACCGCATTGCATAAGCATTTTGTGAAAAATGGCCGTTTTCATTGAAAAGCCCACTGTTACACAAGTTCAAATTGCTATGAAACTATAATAATAAAAAATGTTTAATACTGTTCAAACTTGACACAAACGTTAACTGAACCATAGTTTTTGTAACGGCATGCTCCATTTTGGATTTTCTGTTACCATGGCAACGAGGGGAAATTTCAAAATCACTATAGTGTCTTGATTTGTTCCATCAAAACTGTTTTCAAAGTGCTGCAACTTCTCAATCGATTGAGATAAAGTGAAAGGCTTTTCGTTACATTAAGATCGACCTGATTCCATTTTTAGCCTCTCACAAATCCAAAATATTCTTGGCACCCTCGATGTATCTTTTACATAAAAGGGCGGCGCCGAAAAAGTGATCACCTTTCAGTTACTAACATTTCTCAAACGAATAATATATGTGTTTGGGAATAAAATAAACATTGTTTTAACTATTTGAAGTTTCAAAAGGGGTGGGATGAGATGGCGTGAGAACACGTCTATATGAGGCAAAGGGTTAACATATAGTAAAATCTGTTGACCAGTTACACTAACAGTGAAAACTGTTGACCAACTAGATATCTAGGAAAATATATGTTATTTTGCCGTGAATTTCTTAGTTGTATCGTAATGTAATTAAATACAATATATTCTACATCTCGCAAACCAGAACAACTAAAATGTAAAAGAAACCAAGGGGCAGGACGTGAAGTGGTTGCACACTTGGTTCAAGCGAGCGAATTGGTTGCAAACTTGACAAAATGGCGAACACGGCTTGATTTTTTTAAACGGGTGAACGAATTATTGCCAGACAAGTGGGTTTCTTTGTTATTTTGTAGTTCATTAGTATGTCTATTCCATAATGCAATATATATGCCACACTCGGTTAAAGGTTTCAGCATCCTAGATTCTGTTTTGACGAAGTTATTGAAGATATAAACTGATCATGTAGATATTTTAAAATTTGACATATGACTGTTCTGGTCGGGTTTTCTCCTTATTTATTCGAATTTGTAAGTTTTGAACTGCATTTAACAATAACAAAATATATTTCTGTCAATGCGGTACAAATGGTTTTTGTTCGCAAGTCCGAAGATAACGTGCAATACACAAAAATATCTTGTTCAAGCAGACTTATACTTCAAGCATTTTAGGTTGCAAACTTTTGTGTTAATATTGTGGCATGCATATTTTAGCGAGGAATAACTAATCATTTTTTCAAAAATAATTAGCAATATTAAGGCAATTATACCCGCTCATCTTATAAGAAATATATATACAAATTGTGCACGCGTGCAGATATATCCTAACACAGGGTCTTTCAAATAGATATAAAACACAATACAGTGTATGCTAAATTGTTCAGTTGTGTTTTTTCTCCTCGATATACTTCTTTTCTTTTTACAAAGTCATAGGACTTTTTTTATATCTTGGCATGACTAACTGTAAAGGAAAAGAAGAAAAAATGGCAACAAACAGCTTCCATTATTGTTCTTTTTTTGAGATTTGAAATGAATTTGATTATATAGTAGATAAAAACTATATTAACATTGACCCAATGGCATTCTTTAAAATGTTCCTTATTATTGACCAATCGAAACATCTTCCAAATTCCATAACTCGAACAATGACTTCAAGTAGTTTTGTCACGTATAAGTCAATGTAAATAAACAATCGTATATCATTTATATTATGAAGTAATAATCAAAATCATCTTTAGAATACCAATTGACATAATTAGGATGTACCTTAAATCCGAAATATTGTAAACAAGCATATCATTTTCACTTTTGGTTTGTGAAAATATTTTAAGTGCATTTACATACTTTATGTCTAAAGCAACTACTGATCTTTACATACGAAACAAACAAATTAATATTTCTTGTGGTTTTGATAAACTTTGGACATTTTTTCGAGTAACATCGTGTGTGTGCACATGTCCTTATGTTTATGATGAAAATAATTCACTTACATACAACAGTACTTTCACATACGTTTGTTTTGTATGTAGTTTTCATTTGCATTTTACATATGATGATAGATTTTAGATTTGAAATACCAATAAATATTTTTCTATATGCTATTATTTTGTTTGCAGGCTTTTACTGATGATTATAGTATTGAACTGAGAACCATGTAATTTGAAACAAAAAGTGCATAATTGTTGTAAAAGAAGAAAGTATAAATAACATTTATAACAAAAACAAGTAACAGAACATAAATTATGTCAATAATTGCCATTGAAAATTGGTTAATAAATATAACCTTCTACACTCCTTTTGAAAAGTTTTACTATGGATTTCAATAGAATAAGAATAAGTTTGCAACCAAAAATGCTTGAAGTATAAGTCTGCAACCAAAATGTGCTTGAACAAGATATTTTTGTGTATTGAACGTTATCTTCGGACTTGCAAACTAAACTATTTGTACAGCATTGACAGAAACATATTTTGTTATTGTTAAATGCAGTTCAAAACTTACAAATTCGAATAAATTAGGAGAAAAAACGACAAGAACAGTCTTATGTCAAATTTCAAAATATCTACATGATCAGTTTATATCTACAATATCTTCGTCAAAACAGAATTTAGGATGCTGAAACCTTTAACCGTGTAAGGCATATATATTACATTGTGGAATAGACATACTTATGAACGTCAAAATATGAAAGAAACCCACTCGCCTGGCAATAATTCGTTCACCCGTTTCGAAAAATCACGCCGTGTTCGCCATTTTGTCAAGTTTGCAACCAATTCGCTCGCTTGAACCAAGTGTGCTACCACTTCACGACCTGCCCCTTGGAAACTATTTAAGTGTTTTTGTCGTATTTTCTTCTTTTTCTATTTAGTCATGCCAGTTAAACGTACAGTAGAGTCTGCTGACCAGTTAAACATGTAGAAGAATCTGCTGACAAGTTAAACGTACAGTGAAAATAGCTGACCACTTCTTTAGATATACAGAGAAAATTCTGTTTAGACGTACATTTCTATTTTTCACACTGTTAGTAAATATAATAAATTAACAATAGTATATGATTTATGATGGTGTGCCGTTTTCAATCATGCCGTTTTGAACCAGGGATTAATTATGACGTCATTTAATCCTAATCCTTGATAATCCTAATCCCCGAAACAATGGTTTTATTGAAAAAACTAAACAGGATTAATCTCTACTTATGATTATTCAATCATCTTAAACAATGGGCATTAAAATCTTAAACAATGGGCATTGAAATATTAAACAATGGGCATTGAAATATTAAACTATACGTCATTTAATCCTAATCCGAGATAATCATAATCGCCCGAAATAATGGTTGTATTGAAAATCGTAACAGGATTAATCTTTATTTATTATTATCCAATCGTCTTAAACAATGGGCATTGAAATGTAATCATTTCTTAAAGAATGGAGAATTGAAATGTAATTATAAGAAAGGATTCTATTTCAATGCACATTGTTTAAGGTATGGTTTAGGTAATCCATACTTTCAAGTGTATTGTTAAGATAAAATAGCCGGATTAGACAGACTGGTGTATTGAAATGATTGAAGAGCTGATCCTTTTTCGCACTTAGAACAGAAAAGAAATTAACAGATAAACATTGACTGATATAGGTACATCTTTAATGATATTATAATGAACATGGCTGCAAACGAAATTATATCACCCAGTGAGGCCGAAGAAGATCTGTCTCTCAGTATTGAAGACAGTGAATTCGCTAGACCGCTTACTACAAAATATGTCGAAGTTTCAAGTTTAAATGGTACTAAATCCAGCGATGACTGCATGGTGTGCGCCCAGAGTATCCCGAAGAATCGATTTACCTTCCTTGCACAGATTATTGCAATCTACGGTATTATCATTGTGGCAGCAGTGAATCTCTCTGTTCGTCCGGACGGGCCTAATAAAGAACTTTGGGTTGCGTTGTTAGCCTCGGCTCTAGGTTGTGTTCTTCCGGCACCGGGGCTGAAGTATAGGAAGCCGGTGCAATCTATATCAAGCGGTTGGTTGTCGTCAGAGAGAAAAAATGAGAGAGACGGGCAATGAAACTAAACTGGAATACCTTAAACGTATTTACACCGACCCTTCGCACCCGGCCAGTTTCGGTGGGCGGCAACGATTGAAAAGGGAAGCAGACAGAGAAGGAAAATTCCATATCAGCAATAAAGAAATAGTTGAGTTTTTAGAATCACAGGATACTTACAGCACGACCAGGAGAGTTCACAGGCGGTTCAAAAGAAACAGAATAAGAGTGAGCGGTATTCACATGCAATATGATATGGATTTATGCGACATGATGAAAATGAGGCGCTTCCGGTACAACAAGGGAACCAGATATCTTCTCACTGTCATTGATGTATTTAGCAGGTATGCATTCGTAAGGCCTCTGCGCTCTAAGACAGGACAAGCAGTGGCCAGTGCTCTAGAAGACATTCTGACCTCGGGCCCGAAACCGGCTCGTTGCAGATCGGACAGGGGCATGGAGTTCCGATGCAAGCCCGTGACAGACCTTCTAATGCGCCTAGGGATTAAACAGTATTTCAGTGCGTCCGCCTTGAAGTGTCAGCCTGTGGAGCGTTTTAATCAAACTCTGAAAGGCGCTATATACAAGTGGTGCTACGAGAACAGATCGTTCTCGTATGTTCCTGTGCTGGAAATGTTGGTGCACAGTTACAATCACCGCGTGCATTCATCACTATTTGGACTCAGTCCAAGCGAGGTTTCAGAGTCAAACCAAGCGAGGCTCTGGAATTTGATGTACGTAGAAAATGCTAGTAGCAGTAAGAGTGGTGAGCGGCGAAAAGTCAGATTGTTTAAATACAGTGTAGGAGATCTGGTAAGGGTCAGCTTGGCTAAGCGTACATTTGAAAGATCTTACAACCAAAAATTCACATCTCAGATCTACAGAATACGAGGGCGGGTCTACCGTGATAACTTGCCAGTGTATTATCTGATGGACCTCGAAGAAAAACCAATAGAATCAACTTATTATGAAGCGGAACTGCAACGAGTGCGGAAGAATCTTGACAACATACAGGAATGGGAAATTGAAAAAATACTCAAGACGAAAAAATCAGGAAAGGGGCAGTTGGTGCTAGTTCGATACCGCGGCCTTGGACCAAGCTTCGACAGGTGGATATTGAAGTCTTCAATAAGCAGTAATCGTAAATGATGATATTCATGATGTAATGACTAATTAATGAACAGTGATGGAGCAGTTCCATGTTGACATAAACAGTAAAGACTGTATTCAGTTGTATCCTCTTAATAATGGCTGCGAATTCCGAGTGGTAATGGACGAAAGTCTTGTATTGAAAAACGGCAAAAGGTGGTCCGTCGCATTGGTCGGGTTGACAGTGAATTGTGACCATGACGACATGCAACTTAATGGACGGGAATTGTACGTATGTTCAAACATTGTGGACTTTTCAGTGGTCGGGGGCAAAAAGGTTCAGCTATTGAGAAAGATTTGCCTGGGGGACGGGGTACGAACTGCAGAGGGGGGGCGCATGTTTTCTGTTGACACTATTGAAAATTGTTGCTTTTACAAAAGAGTTTATGGTCATGAGATAAAATGCATTCACATTTATAGTCTTTCTGCAACAGGCAAGAGAGCTACAGCACTGATAGATTGTACAGTAGGCGTAACTTTACATTTTAAATGCTCCAATTAGCAAACGCCAATCAAACGTTATCCTATCGTTAATTGGCTACGTCACACGCATGATCAATCGTGGTTAAATAATAAATATCAATACACCAATAGAATCACACATACACACACTCGTATAAATCAGCATGGATACTAGAGGTGAACAATCCCGACTTCTGTACATCCCGGATTTCCAGGCTTGGGAAAGGATATATCAGAGCAAAGTTCCACGTCGTCCATTGTCAGAAGGAAAAAGGAGTACTGTGCATGTAAGAAATCCTGCAGACGTGAAACTTCGTTTCGTGTCACCTGTTGAAGAGACGGTTGATCAAGCCGAGAGTGAAATCAGTTCAAAATCAAAGGCCGACTTTCGAGCTAAAAAAAGAAAAATTCAAGATACAGAAAGTCTGCCGAAGCAGCTGAGTGTTAAAGACGTAGTCCGGGCATCTACTTCTACTGCTACCACTAGCTCTACTTCATTACAAAAGCAGAAAAGAAAAAAGCACAGACAGGAACAAGGAGTGAAGAAAATCGGTGTAAAAGACTCTAAGAAATTTAGTTACAGGACACTCAACGATATATTCAGTAAGTCGGGATAATGTCGGTTATTTCTCCACTAAGCGGTAGTGAAAGTGCGCCTGAAGCCCTGGATATATTCCGTATGTACCCGAACCAAGTCGCCGTACAGAATTACTATCAAGAAGACATCAGACCAGTAAGTCAGTTTGGTGGCATTGACGCTCCGCTGGAGTTCGAAACATCTCTTCAAGGAGATAGCTATTGTGAATTACCGTCTTCCCGACTATTTGTAAGAGCTCAAATTCTCAATGCAGACGGTACTGCATGCAGCGAGGATGTTAAAATATCTCCATGTGATCTGTTTTTCCATTCAATGTTCAAAAAGGTTGACATATACATGAATAGAACGCTTGTTTCCAGTTCCGGAGACTTATACCCCTACAAAAGCTTTTTCAACAAGTTATTTCGATGTGGCGTGAACACTGGCAATGGAACACTGTCAGAGAGTGAACTATTTTCTGGAAATGATTCGGGTTTTCCGGCAGAAACAAATCCTAACGCAGGTAAGTTGCTGTATGCAACATGTGTCCATTTATTACTGATTATTACTGATTTCTTATGAATGAATTAAATTATTTTATTGTTTATCGTTTTTGGTATTGATAAATAAACTTGACAAGTTAATAAAGAAGTAAAATAGAGCTATCAAAAAGGAAACAATATCTTTACACAGTGCTATGCTATGCTATGCTATGCTATGCTATGCTATGCTATGCTATGCTATGCTATGCTATGCTATGCTATGCTATGCTATGCTATGCTATGCTATGCTATGCTAATGCTAATGCTAATGCTAATGCTATGCTATTCTATTCTATGCTATGAAATGCTTTGCTATGCTATGCCATGCCATGCCTTGCTATGCTCAAACTATTATTAATTTTATTTGCCTTCCTTTACTGCAGGTAATTTCTCATTGTTCCAGCGATACAAAGTCGGTCGTGGTTCTAAGCCATTTGACATGGTAGGGCTTCCACTGAATGACCTAATGGAACTTGATCGTTACCTTATCAATGGCGTTCATTTGAGAATCGTGCTTCATCGGAACAGCGCAGAGTTTTGTCTAATAAGCGATGAAGACAATAATAATGGTGGATATCAAGTAAAACTACTCGACTGTTACCTTAGAATACTGAAATGTAAACCGAATCCAGCCATACTGGTCGCTCATAGTAAGGTACACAAGGGGCTCACTGCCAAGTATCCCTACATAAGAACCGAAACGAAAAGTGCTAATATTGCTAGCGGTCAGAGTGTGTTTTCATGGGATCATATTAACGCTTCCTACCTGCCAAAGTTGGTTATAGTTTCTTTTGCAGATAGCGCTGCAGTGCTGGGCTCGCTGAAATTGAACCCATTTAACATGGAACACTTTGATGTTCGCCAAATAAGTCTTTATGTAAATGGTATACCTTGTTCAGGGTGCCCAATCAATGTAAACTACAACCAAGATCTGACAGCGGAAGTGTTCGACCGGATGTACGGATTTGGCAAAGGGCGGCCATTATACACAGCAATGGGTGGTATCAGCGGCAAAGACCGTGGGAATGTCGGTATAAACAGAGCTGACCTAAAAAATGGAAGGGCTATATACGTATTCGATCTTGCTCCAATTATAGAAGAGCCATTTCATTTTGAGCTACAACACAGTGGAACGCTATCAATGCACGTGAAATTTGGCAGCTCTCTTGCGCAAAATGTTGCTTGTATTTTTTATGCTGAATATGATGCTTTGATGGAAATTGATGAAACGCGTGGCGTGAAAATTGTTTAAAATATGTTTTACGTTTTGATGTGTATTAAACCTGCCTAAAGTTATGTCTTTGTGGTTGAATCATGTATAAATCTTGGTTGTGTACATTGACTGCATTTTTTAGAGTATTATTTAGTTTTAAATGAAAACATCAATCATTGTTTAAAATATATCATAAGCTTAAATCTGTATTGATCCTGCCTTAATGTCTTTGTGATTGAATCATGTATAAATCTTGGTTGTGTACATAGACTGTATTATGTACAGTATTATTTAGTTTAGCATTCTTTACAAGTATTACTGATTAAAAAAACTTTGATTGCAATAACTATTAAATAATTAATGTTGTTTTTCCCCGTATCATTATGTTTGTGCGTGTCTGATTTTCATGTTTTGCTTTCATTGTAATTAAAGTGTGCACGTAAAACCATTGTTGTCTTGTCACTTGCTAGTAGATTACGAACAGGTGTGAAAATGACCAATTCAGCCTATTTGGTAATGTTTGGTCAGTTCTGACTTGTTAAATAATCATAACACCAAAATAATCATACAAATAATTTTCAGTCATATTTCGCCAATTAACTACCCCTAGCCTAAAGTAAGCATATATAAACATACACAATACATGTACATGCCAACATTCGCAAGAATAATACGTTACGTCACTTCGCAACCAAGGATTAAGTCACGTGACCACTTGAAAAAAAACTAGTAGTTTTTTTTCGTTAGCCCCTTATTCTGTACACAAGAAATGCAAAACACAAAAACATATTTTGTTTCATATAATGCAATAATAATAATTATTTATTTATTTATTTATTTTTATTTTTTTTTTGCTGCTCCTTTTTGTAATTAGTTAGAAATCGTGAAACAATAAAAAAATAATGTAACAAGAATCATATCAAGGATCTTAGATAACAAAGTTTTATTTTATGCCAGTTTTTGATGTTTAATATATTTGCTATAAATTGTTATCTTCAAGCGTTAATTCCCACTGGAACATTTTTACAAATAATTTCGAGAAATGCGCACCGACACTGACATCAAAACTTTCCACATATCTATTATTGCGCCAAACTTTCAATACCGGTATTCAAAAAGGAGCTGTCGGCCTTTTATCAAAGGCACTGGCCTTAGTGTCGTCTGCTTCTGACATCTGGCGCCCCACTTAACAGCATTGCTCTCCTTACTCAAGAAATGCAAAACACAAAAGCATTTTTGTTTCATATATTGCAATAATAATAATAATAATAATGACGATTTATGATTGAAGCACTGATTATTATTATTATGAATATTATTGTGGTTTTTCTACTGATTCTTCTTGTTAAGTGTCAAAGATACACATTACTGAAAATTGTGAAACAATATAATTATATGACAAGAATCAAATCAATAATTTTAGATGACACAGTTTTATGTCACAAAAATTATCTATTATTGCGACACACTCTCAGTACTAGTACACAACATGAAACGTCGGCTTTTGATCAAAGGCGCCCGCCTGATTGTCGTCTGCTTATCTCCAGCAGAGTTGGAGACCACCTGTCAGCTGGTACCCAGGCCCTTTTAGTCACGTGACAACACAGTTTATAAGCAAATGCTGAAGGTCTTTTTAAATCACTTGACCCTTGGAAATTCATCTGTTATAGAACAAATGGAAAAGCTTTATATTTTGATTAGCCTTACGGCGCTATTTGCATTTAGCAGTAGTTTATGTGTGACAGAAGATGAAGGGAAAGATGGTATTGATTTGAGGTGTAGTTCCAGGTGGAGTGGAGAAGGTTCTAAAATCCGTCGTCTTATAGTACACAGCTGGGACGGCTCCTGCCACTTTCCGGAAGGGGGCCTTTTGACGCTTTACGGCGCAGATCAGGATTGTTTCACCTGTTCGAAGTCTATCCATGAGCGAATGATGGTTAACGGAGAGAAATGTACAGTCGCTGTAAGTCACACATTCTTTTTTTATTTTAAATTTTACGATGAAATGTTAAGTGTTAAATCCTTGAAAATGATATTTACTTTTTATCTCCCCCGAAAAGTGCATGAAAGGATCCAGCCCTGCATGTTTCTGTGCAGCGTCTCCGATATTAAAATACAATGTATGAAACCTCATTTGTTCGGTAAATTCTTCTTTTTGCATTGCCTTCTGCTCGAACTGTCTGTATATTTTTAGCAGAAAACACGTTTGATAGATCCCTGGTATTATAATTATATTTAATTAACAAAAGACATTTATCTGCAGGTTCCTACAGCAAGGTCAGAATCGAAAATTTCCGGAAGCAGCAGAACCACAACTGGGTCAATAGATTTCACGACAGAGCTCTACGAGGCAGTCTGGCAGGTAAAAGGTAGCATCCATGGCACCACAACTACAGCAGCTGAAACCTATAGTGCATCCTCAAGTTTGCAAGGTACTTACATAATATTTGTTTTATTTACGCCTTTAAAACTAATTATATAATTTGCAGTTTGAATAAACTATTATTTTAAATGCGGATGCGTGCATTTTTATGTACAGCACAACTTTTTAACTTCCCTTTCCAACTTGAGGTCATATTTATTCGATTTTTTTTTTTGTTGTTGAAAATTTAACTATTTGTTGCCATTTGTGTTATAAGAATGTAATGCACCTAAATTATAGATTAATTCTGTTGAGATTTGATCATTCTGGTCAGGATTGCACTGTATTTTCAACCTTTTTACAGACAGTGGTTCGATCCCCAGATGGACATATGGGCTGTTGTCAACTTTAGCGGTAACTGTCCTGGTCTTATTCGTGCTCCTAGTACTGTTGCTATTGCGTTATAGGAGACAACGGGCGTATATTTGCTGTAAACCAAGAACAAGTCCAAGTGTAAGCATGGAATCTGTTATGATATATCCGTTGCCGACATTACAACTTTAATATTTGTAAATTTACAGAACTATGCATATTGGTGACAGTCGCACTGGTTGTAAAATTTCTGAAGGGTTTTAATTGGCAGCCTCATCCTCTCCAACAACAACAACAACAACAACAACAACATCGTAGATTTCAAGGAGGTAGAGAGCTTGTGATTAATCAACCCCATAGGGCACTACGACCACAGAGGGCTCGGAGGCAAGTCCAAAGATTACAAATATCGTGGTAAAAATAAGCTCGCGCCAGTGTGTGTGTGTATTTTATTTCTGATGTGACACCATGTGTTTTCTTAGAGTGCTACTTAGTTGTGGACACCATGTGTTTTCTTAGAGTGCTACTTAGTTGTGTGTCACTTATTGGCACTGGGATTTTCTGTGTATGATTTCTTTCTGTTACATCATGTATAAATAGTAATTTCTTATGTCTTTCTATATTAAATGAGTAGAAAAATGTGCCGCAGTATATGTGCATGAATCGTTAGTGTTTCTGGTGTGTATGAGTTAAGTATCTAAGACGAAACATTTCAAAGAATTGTTATCTGTGTTGACGTGACAACCAACGTTCCAAGTGTTCTATATTTTGTTTCCCGGTGTTCTATATTTTGTCTCATATATGTCATAGTAAAGTGTAAATGACAAGTTTTAAAACTCGTTTGATTACCTACACTATAATCTTTGAAATAGTGAAGATGTCAGACTTAAAGATGGCAGATTTTCTTTCATGAATTCTTGGTTATCTTAATTTGAGCCGTGTCACGACAAAACCAACATAGTGGGTTTGCGACCAGCATGGATCCTTTACAAACCCTATTACAAGTAGAGAAACTGATAGCGACCAGCATGGATCCTGATCAGACTGCGCGGATGCGCAGGCTGGTCTGGATCCATGCTGGTCGCAAACCCACTATGTTGGTTTTGTCATGACACGGCTCATTTAATTTTTTTTTGTATAAAGACGGGTTTTTTCGTGGAATGCTTCAGTTATATACTAAGCGAAAGTTCTAACACCCCCACACATTTGCCTTTCAGCTAGTCATAAATTGGTTGTCTTATTACATAGTATTATAATTAAAATGGGTGTTAGAAGTTTCGACAATACACCGAGTCATGACACACGAAAATATACACCGGATGATGCATGTTTTTGTTTAATTGTTATTCTTACTAGATAGTTTTACCAGTGTAGAATATTGTTTAAAATCGAAAATAAATCAGTGAAATATTCATTTTCGTTTTACTCTGTTGTCCGTGAACCAGACCTTCATGTTCTATACATGGTCTCCTATTACCGGGAATTAATGTCTTGCCATTTAACGGAAGAAAAAATAAGAATACGTTTAGCTTTATATAAAAATAGCATTATCATCATTAATTTTCATGGATCACTTTTAATCTTCGATGGATGCTTAGTTTTTCTTCTATTATATGGCAAGCTTTAACAATAGGCCTATTGGAGGAACAATAGCATATTTACAGTAACGTTACGAAGAATGATAATCACGTTCGTCTATACAAAATGTGTGATCATTATCTTCGAGAAATGATTAATAGGGCAACAGTGGCTGAACGCATTAAATAATGCAGATAACAAGTTAGAACGCAAAACATTTGATTGCAGTATATAACAGGTTTAATGGCAAAGAACAGTGACGATTTAAAATAAATAATAAAGACATAATCTGGCAAAATTTGACAGGTTAAATATCAAAAGAAAAAAAAAAGAACAACTACAAAACACTGAAAAGAAAAGACATCAAAAATAAATATAATCCTTCACTGATTTTTTTACACATACTACAACGAGAATTCGCCGTCCCCCGAATAACACTCTTTCAACAGTCTAAAAACTTCCTTGCTCTGATTTGGCCTGTCAATTTCAAAAGCGCAGTCATATTCTTTTCTTATTTTCGTTATCCAGAATATGCTACTGTCTGTCACATAATGCAATCTCTTGCAAGTCAGTTTAAAATGGAACAAATCAGTCATTTTAAGGTGATGTGCAATTTTTTGCAGAATAACGTCTGGCAGTCATAAAAGGAACACATCATCTGAACCTTGGGTTGTGTCCATGTCACTGTCCTCACTTGACCACCAGTCACTGTTTTCTTGTTCAGGCTCTTCCCAGCGCATGTCCGATGACCTAGACTGGTCCTGGTTGTCTTCGTCTGCGGATTGGCCACTTTCGTCATCACTTATGACGACGGCAACATCCGAGCAATCGGAATACCTCAGTCTCATCCTTAGCTGGCTGATTCCAGGCAGACCTGAATCAACATTTTCCTTGTTCTCGTCGGTCAGATCGATCGGCATCAGTGCATTTCGTCCAACATTATCCTGATATAATGCCGCCTGCTCGCAGGTGTCCACAATTACCCCGATTGAAGAACATAATCGAATCAGCCCCATTTTAGAAAGTGTAACCTGAGTGCCTGAACGCACATTTATTATAGTTCCAACAGCCTTTCCGTTCACTATGTCCATTTTCAAGTAATTTTCAATATCGAGAGAAACACAATTTGAAGCCATTTTTAAGTTGTTTTTTTTAATCGACCTTACACTAAAGTATATGATGTAGATTTGTGACGGTTTGATAAAAAGCAACAGATATAAAGGGTCGCTAAAACAATACAAAACAAACACATAATATACATTGTCCAATCAAAACGTAGCTGAGACGCGGCGTCTCGTGGCACGTTGTACTCGTGTCACGTTCGGTACACTGAATTGACACTGATTGTGCCAATGCTAGACAAAAGAGATAAAAGGATATAAATCACGTGGGAAAATAGTACTGACACGTTACAATTCAATGTAGCATTCAGTACTAAATAAGATAAATGGTACCTTTTATTGGTACTAATTGAATGATCTGATTGTGCCGTTTTATGTGTTTTTTTTTGTTGTTGTTTTTCAAATTACCATTAAAAGACGGGATAAAGCTTTACTACTTACCTTGAATGAGAAAAATTTTGAGCGTTGATGTAATAATTTTAACTTTACTCAAGTGCCACGCCTTCTCTGGCACCGCCCCTACCTAACAACGTTTGTATTAAAAAATACAAAACAAAACAAATTAAAAACAACCAAAACAAAACAAAAAAATTAAAATAAACAAGAGATGTATACGTTTCTGTAATTATTTATGTATCAAAAAGTGTTTACGGATATATATTTATATATAATTATACCTTAAAATGATATTCATAAACAGACATATCTATGAAAATCACATTCTGGTTAAGACAGACAAAAGCACTTTCAATAACATCAGTGTTGCAATTCAGTGCATACAGTATTCAATAAAAAACGGACGTTGTCGAATGACAGATGACAACCGATTAATTAAGGAGGCTGTTTTCAACAGAATTATTGGTTTTCAGGGAAAACGGCAGTACCGGGCCTGTAGAGCCGTATTATCTTTGGAAAATGTATTAATTACAAGTTACCCCATAAGTCTTGAAAAGTGAGTAGAACTTTTTCATTTTCTTACAGGCACATTAGCTCTCGGAATCATGTTTTTTTTGGATATATTAATAAAATGTTTCTACTGAAAGTAATTGCTATTTCAAAATCATTGTTCATTTATGAATATTTAAAGCACTCGTTTTGCAATGTTTCCAATGCTTCTTGTTTACATTTCTTACATGCATAGATCGATTTCAAGCGCTTTCTATGAATTGAAGCAAAATATGTGCATAAAAAACTCTTGACTATTATAGTTTTAGTCTTGTTTTAATATAAACAAGCTCGATAAACATGTACTATTCATTTGTGTGCTATTTTAAATACAAGAATTAATAGGGACACATATCATTGTAAACAAAGATAGTAATTTTGCGGATTTTGATAACGTTACATTGTCACCACTTTTCATTGTATTTCTTTGAGGATATTTTCATTTCTGAGCGCTAGTGTGGCTTTAACCATTTCAGTATATTTTATGTGTATTTGAAAATCTGCGGCAATCTATTGATATTTTCATTTCTGAGCGCTAGTGTGGCTTTAACCATTTCAGTATATTTTATGTGTATTTGAAAATGTGCGGCAATCTATTGACATTTTCGTTTCTGAGCGCTAGTGGGGCTTTAACCATTTCAGTATATTTTATGTGTATTTGAAAATGTGCGGCAATCTATTGATATTTTCGTTTCTGAGCGCTAGTGGGGCTTTAACCATTTCAGTATATTGTATGTGTATTTGAAAATGTGCGGCAATCTATTGATATTTTCGTTTCTGAGCGCTAGTGGGGCTTTAACCATTTCAGTATATTTTATGTGTATTTGAAAATGTGCGGCAATCTATTGATATTTTCGTTTCTGAGCGCTAGTGGGGCTTTAACCATTTCAGTATATTGTATGTGTATTTGAAAATGTGCGGCAATCTATTGATATTTTCATTTCTGAGCGCTAGTGGGGCTTTAACCATTTAAGTATATTTTATGTGTATTTTCTCATGCTAATGTAAACAATGCAGGACGCCCCTCAGGCTACAAAGACGGGATATTGTCTGTTCTGATGATATAACCATGTATATACATGTATTACCGTCACAAGATTATACATCTTCTCTAGAGTTAATTAAGCCTAGCCGCCCCTATCATGTATATACATGAGTTACCGTCACTAGATTATACATGTTTGCTACAGTTAAGCCTAGCAGCCCCGATCATGTACATACATGAGTTACCGTCACTAGATTATACATGTTTGCTACAGTTAAGCCTAGCAGCCCCGATCATGTACATACATGAGTTACCGTCACTAGATTATACATGTTCGCTACAGTTAAGCCCCCGAACATGTACATACATTACAAATTGTGTAACCACAACACAATACAAATAAATAAATATATATAAAGCGGTCACTTCAGGTCTGATACATTAATTTATTATTACACACTGTCACATCAGGTATGGCAAATTCCAGCGACGAAAACGAGTTCATAAGAAACCTTCTATTCCCAGATGATGAAAACGTAACGTATGAACCAAGCTCACCGGAAGTGCGAGATCAGCTAAGAAAACTAAATGAAAAGTTACTGGATGGTTCTGTGTGTCCAAAATGTGGAAAGCAATTTTTTAATAAATCGAATTCAATAAAACACCAGAGATCGGCAGTGTGTGATAAAAAAAAGGAAAAACGCTGTCAAACTTGTAAAAAGGAGTTCAGGAAACCGTGTGAATTAAAGAGACATATGCTACAATGTGCTGCTATGACAGAGCAATGTACTTTATGCCAGAAGAAGTTTAAATCACGAAAATATCTGGACCTTCATATGCAACGGTCCCATGAGAACGCTTGTCCAATATGTGGTGAAAATTTTGTGGACAACAGAGAACAGCTTGTTGCTCACGCAAGAAGACATTTCAAGGATGACTATCTAACACTGCCTCAAGTGAAAGCACTTAGGAAAATAACTGGTAAATCGGCGTTGCTTCCGGTGGACCGGAATAGTAATTCTAGTGATTCATCTAACGCCGTTCGTGCTTCTAGTGATCCAATTCCAGGACCATCCGGTGCGCCGAACATGGATCCGGCCTTTCAGCAAACATCAAGACCGATACACGGAAACGCTGGTATAGAGATATCGGTTACTCCAAGTGGCACAGAAAAATATTCCCTGTTGGCGCTGTTTGACGGGAAACGACAACAAATAAGTTGGAACCTAGAGACGCATTTACAAAGGTAACACATTTTTATCATGTAATTTATATACATCAAATATGTGTGTGTGAATTAATGTATAGCATAAATACGAACTAAATTTAAACGCATGTGATTATCAAATTTATATACATGTACACATTATAATTATGAATATCGATATCAATTTTTTTCCGAAGCAAGAAAATATAATGCCTCTGGAGCACCCATTGAATAAAATATTCATTCAAACAGTTTATAGAAGTATATATATTTCACTTCCCTTTGCAGATGGACCAATGTGCGTTGGTATTTGAATGCAAAATGCAGGATGATTCGGTACGACAACGAAGGAAATATAAGGTGAATATCTCGCACATTTTTTATTATCTCCCTTTATTATCGAAAAAAAGAAGATTTTGGGAATATTCTCATCAGAAAAGGTTTTTGTAACTTTAAGCATTGTTAATTCTTAATCTAAGTTGTAAGTTGCAATAACATGAAGTTTGCTTCGAAATTATTAACTGCTTAAGCGAGTCATAGTGAAAAACTACTGAATTTGAATTATCTCCCTTTAACAGTGAAGTCCATAAGTAAATACAAATTGCAATCTATTTCAGGGACACAGACTATCCTTGTTTCAGAGCGAAGTCGCAGATACTGCTATCAAGCGAAACAATGCCATCTCAGATTGATCAGGCTTATTTTAAAGTAAATTCGTCGCTTGAATCGTACTGTTCGTCCGAAAGTGGCTGGGTCCTAGACGAGGTGCTTCTTCTTGAACTTTTTATTTTAAGATACAATCCTTTGGGTGGCAACTGCGGCGACCTCGAGCTTCCACATGAATTATCGCGCACACGTGCCCTGATAAATGTCACTGGTAGGCCAGCAAATAGTAAAAACTGTTTTATATACGCTGTCATTGCAGCCATACACCATAAACCTAGTGAACATAGTGATTCTGTGCACTGGTCCGCATTTGAGGACAAAAGAAGGATGTACAGATTTCCGGATAGTATGGACGAAAACGATACAGTTACACTTACAAAGATTCCAGAATTTGAAAAAGAAAACAAAATTTCGGTCAACGTTTTCGCATATGACGATGGTACCGTATTTCCTCTGTATGTGTCCACAAACGGAAATGAGAGGGGACATGCAAACTTACTGTTGCTAAATGTACTGCAACAAGACGACACGGACCAACAGGTATTTCCTCACTATTGCGCCATTAAAGATCTTGGAACTCTTGTCCACCATCAGCTCTCGTCTACGCACAAAGTGTACGTTTGCCCGCGATGTTTGAATGCTAAATACTCCTCCAAAGACCTAGAGCAGCACATGGAGCATTGTAATTTATTAGACCCGTTAAACGTAAAAATGCCAAGCATTGGTAATGATTACATTGAATTTAAAAAGCACCATCTACAACTAGAAGCTCCTTTCGTAATTGTAGCAAGATTCGAGTGTTTTCGTCGGCCAATCTTCGATCTCAATGAACCAACAGAAGGTGCGATCGTGAGAGAAAGATTTCATGATCCCTGTGCTTTTGCTTATTATAGAATAAGCATTGATAATAGCTACCCCAAAGAGCCAGTTTTCTTTACACACCACGATACACGTATAGTCATGAAGGAGTTTCTACAATGCATGCAACGTGAGCAGACAGAAGCACTGGCGATTATGCGGCGAAATCAACCAATACAGTACTGCGATGAAGGGATTCGCAACATTCAGGCGTCCAACGATAAATGCCATATCTGCGACGACACGTTCCTGCCCGGACAGCGTATAGCATTAGACCACTGTCACATAACAGGTAGAAAATTCAACAGTTCTAACAACTTTGAGTAAAATTGTAATACATTGCACTAATATTCGCACTGATATAATTGCTAGAGTAGCTTAAGTGCTAAAATTGCTTAATGCTGAAAATGCTAAATGCTTAAACAGGACCTTTGTTTAGATATTGCTAACAAAAACTATACAACTAACATCTTTACTACCATTTCATTACTTTATTTCAGGGAAAATTCGAGGCAGGGCTTGTATGGGCTGTAATTTGAAGCTGAGGGTACCTAACCATCTTGTTGTCGTTATTAACGATCTCTCCGCATACGACGGCAGAATCTTAATGCGTGCAGCCGAGATTTATGGAGTGAAAAAAATAAGTGTCATCCCAAAAACAATAGATTCCTACGCCGGTTTGACCATCGACAGGTGCCGTTTTATAGATTTTAAAAACTTTTTTAAGGATTCACTGACGTCACTTGTAGACGGACTTAAAGCGGAAGAGGGTCACGAAGCTTTCCTTCATGCCAATAAGTATTGGCCACACTCAATTACTCAACACAGACTTTGTAAGATAGCCTTATGTAGGGATTATATTAAAGGCCCAGATGAACTAGCGGAGACAGACCTGCCACTAATTGAAAATTTTGGGGACTGTGTCGAGGGGTCATCACTGTCCGAAGAGGAATACCGGGTTGTTCAAAGAGTCTGGGACTCAGCTGATGAAAAAAGCCTTTAAAATAATGGAGCTTGCACTGATCACAGACTGTTTATTCACGGCCGACATCATCAGCAAGCTCAGAACAGCGGTGATAAAAGACCTTAGACTGGACCCTATGAGGTTTAACACTCTGGCATGCTTTGCGTTGGAAAGTGCCCTACGTTTCATTGGCACTAGGATTCAGCTTCAGACTTCCCATCTCATGATAGAAAATGCTATTAGGGGTACGCAGTTGCTTACTTATTTATTTGTTTGTTTTATAAAAGAATCATGCATATTAATTGATATTATTTAATAATATGTCAAATGAAAGAAATATCTAGTTTCTATTATTATTATTATCAATGCGACATACCTCTTACATGCATCAAAATACAGCTTGAACAGATCATTATTTAATTTTATAAATACATTGACAATCTTTCGCAGGTGGGATATCTGTCATTGGAAATCCGGCTTATGCGAAAGCGAACAATCGCGAAATGCCAAATGGTACATTCAATGAAGACGAGGAGACCAGTTACATTGACTTTTTGGATTTCAACGGCTGTATACCTCAACGATGATCTCGGCACGACTCCCAGCGTACGGGTTTTGTTTTCTATCCTGGTACGAAATCGAGAGATATGACCATGGATTTATCCTGGAGGTTGATCTTTGCTATCCACCAGAACTGCATGATGATCACGACGGTTTTCGTTTAAATTTAAAGGTCCGTAAGTCTCTTATCTCCAACCTATAATGGATTAAAGCATCTGTTCAAATACATTTTTGCACATTTAAATGGTCTAAAAGCATTCATTTTAATATACATGATGAAGTGGTGCAAAAGAGACAAAGGGAGGTAATCATAGATATAATGGTCAGAAAAGCAGAGATAAAGGGAGGTAATCATGGATATAATCATAATCTTTAGTTTGTAAATTAAATACTCAGGTAAATTTAGTATTAGCAAAGAACAAATGCCTAATATTTTTATGTTTATGATTAAAATGCGACAGCAATATTTGACATTAACTAACAAAATTAAACTATGTATTTTCTTTTTGTCGATACAACTGGCTACTGCTTTCATTCCATCGTTAATTAAATAATTAAGTATTTAATTACGTACTTAATTAATTAACAGTTCATTCATTCATTCATTTCAGATTTCCCTCTAGCTCCGGAGAGAATAACTATAGGTAAAGAAGACTTACGGCAGAATCGTGTGGCGTCAATACAGACAATATGATCCTGGATAAACGCCTGTGCTTGACGCTCAAAGACAAAAAAAGTATACGGTACACTACAGAAACCTGCAGTTTTACACAAAACACGGTTTGCAGGTGACCAAGAACATCCTGTACTGACGTTCATACAGGTCCCACTATTAAAGTATTTTATGGTCCACTGTGCAGATCATCGAAGAACAGCAAAGTCACCTTTTTTTCAAGACCCTGTGGAAGAGTATTGCTAATTTAGTTTCTGGTAGGTGAAATTGAATTGCTTACTCACTTTACGATCTAACGCCACAAATGGTTCATTTAATTCCCAATAACCATAACTTTTTGTAATAATACTGCGTTCGTATACATACATGTATATATAAAACAAACATAACTAGCATAATCATATATGTCAGATTTGTAAACGATTCTCTTTTCACTCTTCCAGGTAAAAGCTATGAAAATCCTAGAAATTACAAAAACGTGCGTATTTGCACCAACGAACAAAGTCTGATGCGCCTCGTATCAAAGCCAACTTTCGACTGTCTGCGCGTGTTTACTGAAAACCTGACTGCTGGTCAAATGCATAGGCCAGTGGTAGTGCTTAATAGACCAATCGCCATTGGATTTACTATACTGGAACTATCAAAAATGACGGTGTACTCGTTCTATTATGACTTTGTAAAACCTAAACTTTGCAAGGATGGAAGAGTCAGCTTTTTGGCAGGAGACACCGACAGTCTTGTGTTAAAGATTTCAGGAGTTCCCGACCTTAGAGATAGGTACCGTAAGTACAAGAACATGTTTGACCTGTCCAACTTGCCCGATGACCATCCTTTACGTGATGATGAAAACAAGATGGTCCCCGGGAAGGTTAAGTTCGAACAGCCAAGACAGGTTGGGATAAAATTTGTGGCTCTGTCCCCGAAATGCTATTCCTTTAAGACTGATCAAGGCTTCAGACAAACCAGAAAAGGGTGCTCGAGAGAGTTAAAACATGACTTGTACAAACAGTGCCTCTTAGGTTGTACCTGTCATACCGAAAACGTTAAGGACGTGAGAAACTACGACCAGAACCTGTACCAGGTGTCTGTAAACAAACGGGTCCTTAGCATATTGGACTACAAAAGATACCATTTTGGCAATCTGACTTCGGTCAGCTTTGGACATCATTGTCTTAACGATCGGATTTAAAATTGCACCAAATTAGTGGCAAATTCAAGTGTAAATAAAGTGCATATTGATCTATTATTCAAGTTAATAAGTTTAATGGGAACATAGTCACGGACATGACAGTATTATAATTATGTAAATCGCATTTTATATTATGTCTGTAAATTTCAAATTGTATATTATTATCATTATTATTATTATTGCTGTTATTATTACCACTGTTATGATCCATCGACTTCAAAAACGCCCTTCCCAAACTTAATGAGATACCGTAGCGGAGACACCGCCCTTCTCCTAGCATGTTTGGGAAAAGTGTTCTTTATAATTCCAGTTAATCGTTCACTGATGATTTGTCAATGATACAGAGTTACTGCCTCCATTTTGGATGGATCTAGCTTCAAATATGTTAGTCGCTTGCGTGGCCTGGTGCAGCTGTTTCACTGGCGATGCGGTCGGTGACGTATTAAGAAACACTTCTACTGTTTGGCGTTTCTGCTGCTGCTGTGTAGGCTGTGCTTGCCTTTGAATCAGTTGCTGGTACCGGCTTGCCGGAATCAGAATCAGTTTGCGAAAACCCTTCTCCGATCCCGCTTGCATTATGCAAGATACGACTTGTTGTCTGTACCGGAGAAGTGTGCGATTGTTCCTCTGTTGAGCTTCCGTAGTCACTAAATGACGAATCACTGTCCTCAGATTCCTTGTCGAAATCCTTAAGAGACACCGTTACTAACGTTTTAATTACTGTAGCGTCTTTATACATTAACTCTCTCTTCGTATTGTTATCTACTGATTTCAGTGCCACTTTCCTCAGGGTGTTTTTGTGCTTGCTAAGAGTCAAATAGTCTTGGTCCGATATCTTAATGTTTCCGTTTAACAGGTTAAGACAGATCTCTGATAGAATTTGAATCTGTTTTCTAGCCTGGTTACGTAGAAGCTGTTTCGTCTGGGTTGGCACTGAAACGACCAAGTAACGTAGAAAATCAATTTGGCGAATTATTTTGTCCATCACACCAGCGGCAGCAGACGTGAATGTTTATTATTATTATTGTTTTTTTTTTCTTGTTCAGTAACAATTAATATTCAAATGGTCACGCACACACACACACACACGCACACACACACACACACTGGTGAATCGCTATATGCCACCGCATAGCAGATGCTGCGGTGGCATAATAATCGTAACGTTTACGAGTCAGTCGCCGTGAATTTAAATAAACTAGAAATGTGTCATCATGCCACGGTTGCCCCAGCATGCAGCCAAAATTTCAAATGTTATAATATTTAGTTCCAAATTTGTTTGCACAAATTATTTTTTTCATTCTGAAATATGAAATTTTCAGTTTCCGTTCATTATCTCCCCAATGGTATAACACATTAAACTCAAACTTGACATATGGATATGTCATGAGAAAATACAGGTCAAGGTCGAAATTGGTCATGGTTCGATGTTTTTTGGCAGAGTTATGCCCCTTTTACTTTGAAAATAATATGAAATTTTCAGTTTCCGTTTATTATCTCCCCAACAGTATTACATATTCAACTCAAATTTGACATATGGATAACTCAAAGGCATGCGCAGGTCAAGTTCAAATTTAGTCATGGTTCCATGATTTTTGGCAGAGTTATGCCCCTTTTACTTTAAAAATATGAAATTTTCAGTTTCCGTTTATTATCTCCCCAACAGTATTACACATTCACCTCAAATTTGACATATGGATATGTTTTTGGAATGCGCAGGCCAAGTTCGAATTTGGTCATGGTTCAATGATTTTTGGCCCCTTTCACTTTGAAAATGATATGAAATTTACAGTTTCTGTTCATTATCAACCCAACAGTGTTACATATTCAACTCAAAATTGACATATGGATATGTCAAAGGAATGCGCAGGTCAAGTTGGAATTTGGTCATGGTTTGATGATTTTTTGGCAGAGTTATGTCCCTTTCACTTTAAAAATAATATAGATACATCTTAGGAATAAGCAGTTTAAGTTTGAATTTGGTCGTGGTTCAATGATTTTGGACAAACTTATCTTTCCTGAATGTTGGAACAATTTTGAACTTTCAGTTTCAGCACTCGTACTTTTGTGGAAATGTATATAGCCATTATTTTGGCTTCAAATATGCAATATGCTATTTTCAAAAGACTGAATAATTTCAGTGCCTATAACATTGTATAAAAATGGTTTGTGTTAACATTGAAAAGTTTTAACATTAAAAAATAATTTGTGCAAACAAATTTGGAACTATATAACATTTGAAATTTTGGCTGCATGCGGGGTCATCTGTGGCATGAGGACACATTTCTAGTTTTTACAATGTCGGCAGCATACTTATTTATGATACGTCTTCTGTAGAGACGTTTTGCAATTTTGATGATAAATTAAACGCACATGACAAAAGACGGTATGCCTATTAATTAATTCTGACCTTGTCCCTATTTTGAATATATAATAACCAATCCGTCCTTGCCTTATCCTATTTTTGTTAAGTGTCGAACTGGGCTCCTGTGTTGCTGGATGTTTTGGGGTTGCGCCATTGAACGCTGCCCTTCCTTAATGATCTTGTTTTTCATATTTGTTTGTGATATATAAATAGACATGGTATCGGTAACTATCTTGATAATCTACAAAAACGAGTTTCTTTTGTTTTTGCTTGTTTTAAACAAGAGCTGATTGGAACCGTGTGATGCTCCCCGAATATGTTTTGTACACAGAACAGTAC